AGACACGGGAACCTGCCCTGCTGCACCCGGAGGCGCTGCAAATGCCTGAGGAGGTCAGAGAAATAGCCCGGGCTTGCCTGGGGTGCCCCGGTTTCGCCTGGCCGGGCTGCCCGGGCGCGCTGGCCGGGCGGCTTCACGCTGGCTGAGGTGCTGGCTGCGGTCCTGGGGCTGGCACGGCACCGAAACCCTTGCTCACGCTGGGAAGCCAGCAGCAAAGCGCCGCGCAGCCGTGCCCGGCCCAGCTCTTGTGCGTCGCGTCCAGTAACGCAGAGATGCGTACTGGCAGGAGGCACTCGGCCTGCTAGAGTCCCTCGAGCCCCCACGTGAGGCTGAACAGCATTTAGCCCCATTTCTCCATCTCTCCAACCCAGACAGGGCGAGGGGAGTGGAGCGGTTGCCTGGAGAAATCAAGACGGAGCAAGGGCTGAGGAAGACCACGGGCAGCGGGGAAGGTCGAGCAACAGGGAGCGTGCGGCTGTGCTGCAGCCTGCCCCGGGCGGGGGACAAGCACCGGCCCTTCCCAATGCATCTCCCTCATCCAGGCCTGTCATTAGCCCCGGAGGAGAGGGGAGATGCTGCCCCCTGCCCCACAGCTGACCTTGGTGTGTCCTGGATGGCACCCACATCATGCAGCAGAGCTCACCCCACTCGTACCGCCGGCAGGGGAGATTTCCAGGAGAGGGGTCCACATCCATCCCATCTTTGGTGGCTCTTCATCAGGTATCCGTGAGGGTCGGAGAGGGTTCGAGGTTACCGGGGGCGTGGAGTGAGCCCGGAGGAGAGGATGGGCGTCGTTGTGGGCCCAGCGCTGGGCACAGCACGCTGGACAGCAGGAGGTCACCAGTGAGGCTGGAAATGCTGCGGGGCCGTAGCTGCTGACGGCGGCGCCGCTCTACGGCTGCCCGTGCCCAGGCGCTCGTCGCTGACACCGGTTTTTAACTGCACCAGGACTGACGTTACACTCCCGAGGGGCTGCTGGTCTCCAAGGGCTCTGGCCCAGCCCAGGGATGATCTTTTTGCCAACCAAATCCCCCTGAGCATAACTCCTCTCCATTCGCTCTGGCTGGTCCCGCTCTCGTCCCGAGAGTTTTATGTTCATATTGGGCAAGCACTGTGGGCTCACAGACATGGCAAAGCGGGCAGGGAGATGTTTTGGCACGGCGCGCTCAGCCCCATAGCCCCGCTGCAGCCCCAGCCTGCAGAAGGTCCCCACAGAGCATGGGCGACTCCATGGGACCTGCTCCTGCGCCCCCGTACCAGTCCGTGGGCCTCCATGGGGTGTCCCACCGGGCTGCCCGGCAGCAAGCAAGGCTCAGGAGCGGTTTCCTTGTTAAAGCTGGAGGGTTAAAGGTCTCCTGGGCCAGGCCTGCTGCGGAGGACCCACGAATGGCCGAAGGAAGTTGGCTTTCCTATAGATGTGATGCCAACATCCTTAAATCGCCACCTTGCATTACTCCTAGAGCCTCTCCAGCACCCCTATTGCAAGGCCTGTGCCCCAGTCCCTCCCTTCGCCTCAGCAGAGCCTTCCTCCCCCCCTCAGCTCCCTCAAATGACTCTTCGTTGCAACGCTTGTTGTGCTGGTTTTGTACAACGTGTGCCAATGGGCCAGCTGACGATAACCTTGAGCTTACGCCCCAGGGAAGACATCAGTTTTCACACTTAGAGGAGCTTAATTACTTTAAGCCCTCTGTCTCTTCGTAAACCAAGGGAAACTGGCCAGAAATTTCCGGGAGGGAACGTGACTACCAGCTGGATAGACAATGCCAGGGTGAAAGTCGTCTTTTCCTAGGATAACCAGGCTAAAAATGGTGTCACAGTTTGGAGCAGTACACGTCCAAAAAAGACTTCCCTGGGCGCTGCTGCTTCAAAGGGATGGTCAAAGATGGAGAGGGGGGAAAACCCACCGGGAGCAACTTGCTGGCTGTTGCTTTCTGCTGAGAAGCCAAGCACCCGCAGTCGGCAGTGCGGACCAGTTCTGGTTTCCCCACTGATTTTTGGTGAGACTTGGGTATGCCACTTCCCCGGCCGGCTGCTAATGAAGGGCCAGCGCTGCCGTGCCACGTTCCAGCGTTTGCAAACAGCCCCGGGGTCCTCAGCAAGGTGTCTGTGGGTGGAAATAGCTGCAGGCTTGGGAGCGCGCATCCACTGACCTGCCCCTTCAAAGTGACTCACCAGCTCTCTATTTCCGCTCAGGAAGGCACGAGACGCGCGGACAGGAAATGATTTCAGCTGTCAAACTGCTTTGTGGCAGGTGCCACAGAGTGACGGGGTAAGCTGTTTTGGTCTCCGTCCTCGATGCTGCTACATCCGTCCATGTCCCCGTGCTGCAGGGATCCCCTTTGCCCTGCCTGGCCTGGCAGCAATGCCGTAGATAGAAGTCAAAAGCCTGGATGGTCTCTGCCAGCTGCGTCACCCGTCCCGATGCCGTGCCGCCCGTGGCGGGTGCCTGCTTTGCACCGTGACCAGCCCAGGGCCTGCCGTCAGCTCCCTTTGCTCCTGCAAAGCCTCTGATGCTCCACTCCGTGTTGGATCCGAGGATCTTTGAGGAAGCCTGTGGAGCAGTGGAGCTCCTGGCCAGCACTTTGCCCCTTCGCACTCTGTGGCCACCAGGTTGGTTGAACCCGGTCCTGCATGGATGCTTCTGGTTAGCGCTGAGATACAATGTTTAATGCAGAAGTGGGATTGCTTCTCTCACAGCTGAGTATTTAACGAGTTTTCTCCTAGCGACCCGCAGTGGGAAGGATGCTGGCCAGCATCCTCGGGAAGGGGCGCCGGTCCTCACCCAGGACTCATCTCCCAGCGCCTGCTCCGTCCCACGAGCAGTGCGACGACTGGGTGAGAGCACAGCCGGGGCCGGGGCCCAGGCCAAGGTGGGCTTGAGGAGAGCGGTTTTATCCCCACTGCTGAGCACCCTTTGCCAGGCCATGATGGCCTAGGGGACTGGATGTGGCCGTGATGCGGATGGAGGCAGAGGGAAGCGAGGCTCCTTCTCTCCACCTTGCTTGGGAGAAGGCTCGTACACCCACCGCTCTGCTCTTGGACCTGGTGCCGTGACCTCCAGGCTGCAGGCTCTCTGGAGAAGACAAAAGATGCTCTCTGTGTGCGGAAACTGAGGCAGCATCAGCAGACACCACTCGCACTGAGTCGTGCAAGAAGCCAAGGGTTAAATACGGCAATTAAATGCCCCCTCCTCTCCTTCCTGCCCCCGGATCCAGCTGCTAGAGCGAGCTGGACCTCCCCGAGGGAGCGTGTCCTGGGCTCGGGGTTATGCGCAGGGTCTCGCCCGCCGCTCTCTGCCGGAAGAAAGCAGAGGGGGGCCTGGCTTCCCCGGGGGCTCCGCACAG